GGTGCTGTTCTTGGTGAAATCCCTAAGGAGATGTTGGGATTATAGGCTAACGACTAAGGGTTGGATTAACTGTGCTTGAGATGCGACCCCAGAAGCAATTCAGCAGTTCTGTTCCACTGGGGTCACCATTTCCTCATAAACCCACTATGATGGACACACTCCGTGGCGATTTCTAATGAGTCAGACCTTCTCACAGCTCCTGCCTTGAGTGTTGACATGTGCAGGACTGACGTGACAGGCTGAGAGGTCACGTCCATGGTCAGGCTACCCTCTGTATGTCCTGGGCTTTGCAGACTAGGGAGACTCTGCCTTGCTGGCTTTGAAGAAGGGAGCTGCTATATTACAAGGAGTCTGTGAGAGGCCCACATGGAAAGGGACCACGGCAGCCTCTAAGTGCTGAGTGTTCCTAGGCTGGAACTGAATTCTGCCAACAACCGCGTGAGTTTAGAAGAGGATCTCAGGATCCAGAGAGAGACACAGCCCGACCTACACCTTGGCTGTGGCCCTATCAGACTCCAATCCCAAGTCCCAACTATGTCGTTTCTGGACTCCTGATCCTCGAAACTGTGAGATAATGAATGGATTTTTTTAAGCCATTAAGAACATGTGTGTGGCAAATTTTTAAAAGCAATAGAAAAATAATACAAACATCTTTACTTTGTAGGAAAAGGATAGTAACAATATTCTAGGTTAAAAAGACATTAATAAGTATTAAAGTGATGCTTTACAAATATATTTGATTCTAACGATTACATTGACCTATTATTAACCAAAGCAGCAAAAGCAAAGGAAGCAGGGAATGATTCCAGAGAGGAAGCAGACGGGTGTCTGAAGCCCAGAGGTCTAACTGCTTCCAACTACATCTCTCATCCCGTGCTTTAAAAATGGGAATGGGCTGTAAATTATTCATCAATGAAAGGAAATCCCTAAGAGGCATCACCATATATTAGATTAATGCCCCAGGAGATCATTTACAATCACAAAATTGAACTGAAATTATACTTGATTTTGAAAGGGAGCAGTCAAGTGAGATAGTGAATCATGTCTATAGATTCCTGTACGACCTTCTAGGTCAGCGGCTCTCATGTAGCTCTTTATAACGTGAAGTTTTTAAAAAATTAGGGAGTCTGGAATTTTTTCTTTTTTTGACAAAAGGATTTTTGGACATCAGTCCCTTCAGACTTAACTGAACTGAAATCATCAGAGGTGAGACCTGTTATATCCCCAACTCCTTACACACACACACGACCTTCCGAGTGTCCACTGTAGCCAATCTGGTCATTGGTATTTGACCTTAGAGCACTTATCACAATTAGGGTGATGCTTTTCGCGATAGAAGTACCTTATAGATCTTATACATCTGGTTCAATATTTCTCAACTTTGCTGCACATTAAAATTACCCGATGAGTTTTATAGGTCCTAATGCTTAAGCTTTTTCCCAGAGCAATTACATCAGGATCCCCAAGCCTAGTACCCGCTATTTTTTAAGTTTTAAAGTTCCCCAGATGATTGCAACATGCATTTCAGTCTGAGACTGCTGATCTGTAGACAATCCTTCCTATCTTTCTGCACCTCTTCTATTATGAAATTATGTAGCCCAGTGCCCCAGACACTGCCTGGGCTGTATGTGGGCCAACCTTAGCTGCCCCACTTTGACGGAACTCACAACTGAAGTTGGCCATCCAGGACCAGACAGCGACAACTCACGTTTGTTGAACTTTAAGTCTATCATATTTATTTCTTTAAAAATGTGATGTGGTGATCCCAGTTCACAGACAAAGACACACAGATCTGTGTCAGAAGAAGCTCCCCAAAGAAGCCGGGTAGGAGCCGGGAGACCCCACAGCAGATGCTGTTGTGTGTGGCAAAGTGTGGTCCCCAGACCGGCAGCATCAGCCTCCCCCAGGAACTTAAGAAACGCAAATTCTGTGGCCCAATCCTATACCTACTGAGTCATAAGCTTTCAGGGTGGGGCCCAGCAATCTGCATCTGAGCAAACCTTTCAGGGGATTCTGGGGCTCACAGTGATGGAGAAGCCCTGCCCTGTGTCTGCTGCGTCTCCGTCAGCTCCGTCTCCCACTCTGAGAGACTCAGCTCAGCACATGGCAACAGAAATAAGTGTGTGGGTGACTCTGTAAGACAAGGGGAGGGCAGGAGATTGTCCCTCCCTGCCTTCCCTTGCCCCTATTCCCCATTATTATCATTCTCTCATTATTATCACTATCATTATCATTAATGAGATATTATCATTATCTCATTCTCAATCGACGTTGAGAACGAGAAGGAACGTCATAGAAGATAACAGATGGGGAAACTTGGGAGCGTGCCGGGAAGCTTCACTTGCAGGGCTGCCGGTCACAGTGAAACACTTTTATACAAGTGTGACTATTTTAAGATGTCAATGGCTGGTTTATCCTTTTAATCAAAGTATGTAAAGTTTTAAAAGATGTCCTTAAACATGGATATCCCAGCTGTTTCCAGGGAAATGATTATCTTCATCTTAAGGGCTTTGAGATAATTGGCACTCAGGAAACCAAGGCCTGTGGGTTTGGGTTCTGTCACAGAAGCTGCCACCCTGAAAGCAGGTGTGTCACCAACCTCCTTTACTGTCCCTCTTGCTGTGCTTCTGGGCACGTTTACTGAAGCCATACATTTGACTAGGGGGAAATCAAAATTAAAAGGCCACTCTTGTTTGATGTATTGGAGATTTCGATTAATGTTTTCTGAGCCAACCATGAAGTCCTTTTGATTAGAGAAGTATATAAAATAGGCTTTGGGCACATTCAGGTCTGATGGAAATTTATCTCCGGGGGCTGAGCGAGGCAGAGGAGAAGCAGACAGCAGTAAAGTGAAAAGAGAGAAAATATAAAGAGAGAGGAGGAAGGGGAGGAGCTAAACTAAAGGGGATGAGGGGAAAATAGAGAGAGGTTAAAAAATAGGAGAGAAAGGAGGAATGAAGAAATAAGAGGCGGGGTAATGAGAGTCGGAAACAGAGAAAGGAAAGAGCTTGGGAAGGGGGAAGAGGACAAGAGAAGACATGTAGAGAAAGAAAAGAAAAGAGGAGAAAGAAATAAATGGGGACTTGGGAGCCTGGCAATTTATCGCAAAGAGCCATTTGCCTAAACCATGGTGCAGAGAGGCTGGCTCCCAAGTTAATGGCGGCAGCAGTCATGGTTCCCGCTCACAGCAGATGGGGCGAGAGGCTGCCCAAGCCCACCTGGAGACCCCACAGGGAAGGCAGTGGAATAAGAACATAGCAGCAGTCGGGGAGGCTGGATGACATTCTCCCGTGTAGAACAACCATTTTATATCTGACTCATGATCCAATGTCAAATAGAAAACAAAAGTTCTCTTATTGATGGATCTCTGAATTATGGCACAGAAGTTCAGATGTTCACATGAGCATGTTGGAAGTTTTATCTCTGCTTCACCTTCCCTGAACACTGACTTTTGGCCAAGACTTGGTCTTCTTTGCCTCCTTTCCTTCCGGTCCTTACTGCCCAGGGGTTTTTACTGCCAGTGGTCAGGGCAGCTGTTCCACTGTAGAAGCTCCCTCTCGCTGAAGCCTGGGGCTGTTGTAGAACAGGTGTAACACATAACTCTCCAAGCTGGCTGCCCATGTCCCGTTCCCCGTATGCTTGTTTATTACGTGCATTATTTTAAGAGATTGCCCATTGAGATTCCTTTCACTCAGAGGCCCCTGTGGGGGAAGCCCCCCTCTCAATCAGAACCTCCCTCATCCTAGTCTACCACCAGGAAAGCAGAAGACTAAGTTTTGGAGAAGAAAGCAAAGTACTCTGCATGATGAGGGGAGGAAAACTGAAAGAGCCCAGGGCACGGAGTGGGCTGAGGAGCAGATATGGGAGAAAGACAGACCCCGTGCTGTCACAGAGATGGCAGGAGCTTGTGTGCAGTACGTGATATGATGGAATCCTACAAACATATTCTTCAGAGTCAACTCGAGTTTTACCAATACTCTGAGAATATTGTTTGCTGCGTGTCCCAAAGAAGAGGCAGAGTTTTTCTCTGCTGGTCTGTGTGAGGTTGGACAAAGGCAATAGTTGAGGTAGGCAGATTTGAAGAGGCTGAAATTAGCGGAAAGCTTTGGATATTATAGATGTCTACATGCTGTGGAATTGCGGTCCTAAGGAAAGTGGTTTAAGAAGAGATCTAAGTAATTTAATGCACTTCCAGGGACATCGATAGCTACTTTCGTTTCCATATGTTTAAGAACAAATGTATGTTGCACAGACGCCAGTAAACATTTGATACTTTTAAGGACAAGTTGTTTTTAAATAGATGTCTGAGTGCAAGTCTTTTCTCCCTATTTAGACTATAATCTCCATGAGGACAGAGTGTATCTTCTCTGGCTTTTGAATAGCCTGCAGCACCGAGCCTGTTGCTAAGTACCTAGCCACTATTCAGTAAGAGAACATGCCTCCTAGGGCCATCACTGTGGCTCACCCCCACCCTTAGATACACATGGGCTGTTCCTGCTTTTGAAGATGATTCACCCAGGAGGGAGGTCATGTGCACACCTGGACCACTGAGATGCAGTTACAGAGATGAGCTACAGACTCTGACCATTCCGAGTCCTTGGCACCA